ATTGCGCGCTCTGCGCTGGGACGTGACCCATCAAGAAATAGTGGACCTCATCATGGCAACCCTGCAGCGACCTTTGACCAAAGCGACGAAAGTATGTTAGAAGACCCTGCCGACATCGACGATCCTGTAGGATGGCGCCAGTGGTTCAGGGGCGCCTTGAAAACGTGTGAAGAAGCCCGGACCGCTAGCCGAGACTTCAGTACTGGTCGCGACGCGGTGGTGGCTTCCACCCGGTGGGCTCGCTTGTATCGGTCCGCCATTGGGTCTCAAGAATTGAGAGGCATGGGCCCTACGTCCCGAAGAATCCCGGAGTCAAATGAACGGGACGAACACCTCAAGTTGCAACTCTGCAACGAGTTACCAACCGACCCCGTCTGAAGCTCCGGTTCGCTGCATTGGCCCGATGGCGTATTCTGGGCTCGGACATTGAAGCCGACTTACCATTAGTCGAACTTGAAGACACGCGGTTGCCCTCCAAGGATTGGCGTCGGCAACGTGAAGCAACGTAGGCTCCGCGCGTGTACTTCAGCGCCTTTCAGCGAGACGGAACGCACCTCACGACGCCTCGTCGAGTCAAGAATTCAACCGACAGGAGTCAAAGCCAAGCGCAGCCTGCATTACGGGACTCGTCAAGGCCTCGACGGCAGTCACAAGCCCATACATGGATTGGCCATTTCGGGATGTCCCGGATGACGATGTTCGTGAGGACTGCGCTCGTCGGGTGATGACGACGACTGGTGAGCCTTCCGAGCCTTTGGTCGTGGGTCAGGTCGCCTAAGGCTCAGCGGTTCCCCTCGTGAAGGCGGTCATCCAGCATCGACAACTCCAAGTCGAGATAAACGCCCTGGTGGACATCGGTGCCTTTGTCAGTGTGATCAACCCCGACATCTGGCGACTGTTAGGAAGCCCTCCGTTGGTGCAACCGAAGTACAGGTTGATCTCAGCGTCCAACACCAAGATGCCCACGAAGGGGCTCACCAAGTTTGTGGTATCCGTCGGGACGTGCCGCGCCTACTTTTCACTGTGGGTCATGGACGGGGCGGTGAGTCCTTGCATTTTGGGATACAACATGCTCCGCAAGCTCGGCGCTGTCGTGAACTTCACCCGAGCCTGTCTCGAATTCGGGAACGGTGAGTTGGTACCCTTCGTTCATCAAGACCGCATGGCCGAGGACACTTGCTCGGTGGTACATTTGCATCAAGCCGACCAGTCCACTAACACCACAGAGACCGTCCCGGGCTGCGTGGAGCCCGTATGGGAGGTCCCTGGTTCGACTCCCGACGACGAATCAAGGCACGCGGCGGGCGCAAGTTCACTCCTCGTACATCATCCAGTTTGGTTGCGAGGGTGCTCCCGGATGGTGATACAATGCAAGGTCCAAGAGTCCAAGAAACCCCTGGAGCACAACTCATTGTCCTGGCAGAACCTTGCTTTACGACGTTTCCGTTTCCACAAGTGAGGGCACGTTCTCTGAATGCAGTCCGGGTCCAAGTCCGCAATACGGGACTGGACGGCGTGTACCATCGGAAAGGAGACGTAGTGGGCCTTGCCACTCCGCTCCCGGAGCAGTTCATGGACAACCACGGATACACAACCCGCGGTTCGACGGATGTCACCTGTTCATACCGGTCGCCCGGGCGTGCAACCTGTT